ATTACCGTGACCTCCAACTATTGTCCATTGCATATCTTGAAATTTTTGTGTTGGTTTGAGTAGTCTTCCACCACGAGATCTCTCCACATCTTAAACCAAATCCCTTTCGGGAGCATCACTTCATTCCAATAAAACAAACCTATTGTTTTCCCTACCTTCCACATTTGATTCCGCCTCATTCAAAATAGTGTTATCCGGTGAAGGTAACGTTTCTTGGTTGTGGACAGTGGGAATAATAGAAGGCTCAACTTTGTCAGATGATGTTGAGACTTAAGCTTCAATCTTAGGAACAACAAGACTGTCTGGTGTAGCGTTTACGACTGAAAATTTTGCGAGGAATGGGACATCTACATAGTTGATCGTAGTGACTATGGTTGGGGAAGCCATTGAGACTGGAACAACCTCAGAATTGGTAGTATTTGTTGTGATCATGACAGCCTTTGAAGTAACGTGTTAAAGTGTAGCAATATCAGAATTGAGTGATGAGTTGTTGGGAGCTTCTGTGGCTGCATCCATTGCAATAAATTGAGCCATCTCAAGGCTAGAGGGTAGATTAATCAACATTGTATTCTGGACAGCGGTTGCTGAAGCAGAGAAGGAGCTTGTTTCGACACACGTAGTAGTTGTTGGGGGCAGAGAAGGAGTATGTTGCAGCACACTTAGCAGTAGCCGGGACAGAGACATGACTCGTTGCAATGTCTTTAACATTCGTAGCAAGGCAGACCTAGACATCATGAAGCTTTATGGCCAAGATGACCACATCTCTCACACTTTGGAGGCAACCAGGCGTACACTACATCAGCCATTCTGATGGAGCCACTCATATCTTCCAAAGCAACTCTTTGGGGGAAAATGCTTATCTAATTTAACCTCAACCAGAATTTTAGCTTCTCCTATTAGTGTAGGGTCAAGCCAATGTTTACTAGACAACATTGGTTCTCCTATTCATGAGGCAATCCAATCTATACCTTTGAAGGAGTAAAGTTGATATGGAATGTTCTTAAGAGTCAGCCATACCGGAATGGTTGATATTTCCCGTAAAGAAATGGTTTCTGATGGATTCCAAGGAGAGACAAACATCAAGCAGTCATCTATATGCCACACACCCCTCTGAATAACCCAATTACGCGTGTTCTCATCCGGAATATAAAACAGAAATGAAGATTCTCCTAACTTACGACAAAAGATACGACACTTTTTACCCCATAATCTGGTTGCTACATCATGAATCTGTCCACCTGATGGAGCGGAGCAACGATAGAACTGTCCTACTACATATTCTCTTTGATTCTCTAAACCTTCTAATAGGACATGACTTGGAATACATACCTTAGGAGTTCCATCATCCATATAGACGAGAGTTGTGACCCTGTGGAGATTGCAAATTGATTTCATCTTTGCTGTCCAAGGATATTTTGGAGCTTTGCGGATGAGAGTAGTCTCGTTTTGTGGTTGCAAATTGAGAGCAATGCTTGGAGTAGAAACCGGTTGGGACGTCTTTCTTGAGGCTTGCTTCGTTGTGTTCTTCAGAGAAGAAAGAGTATGCCAATTAGAATCCGGGGAGAGTACCGTGGATTGGTTATTGTCTTTGGTGAAGAGTGCAGGTTCAGGTGCAGCCATCAGAGTAGTAAAGAGGCTTGAGATCTTAAACGGCGAGGCCCACGCGCCTTGAGGAGTAGAGATTGGATTTGGGGCTTCTAAAATCAGGTCTGGTTTTTGCAGAGCTGACGAAGAAGTAACCTTCGGAGGGGTTCCGACTTGCAGTAAATGAACTTCGCCGATTTGTAAAGATGTGAGAGGAGAAGAAACCTGAGACTCCATGTTCGTTGTAGTCCTACTCGATGAAGGCATTAAGAAATCCATCTCGCAAATGTGTTGAAGTTCCGGGGAAGCATTATACTCAGATCTCGAAGGCGAGTGGGTTGAGTGAATTTCAGTGAGATTCTCCATGGGTCGAAAATATCGCCGGCAAAGAAGTCACAAGGGGAGCAGATTGGGGAAAAAGGTGGGTAACAGATGGTGCCTTGCTGAGTAATAGCTCGGGGAGCTAGCCGGCGACGATTCCGCGGCGGTGGATTCGTCCAGGAAGCCGCGATTTGAGTTTTAGGGTTTCGCCTTTGAGATCGCTTTCGAGAGAGAAATTTGGGGGGCATGTATATTACGCGCTTTTTTATTTATTTAACTTTATATATTGCTGCGACCATTTATTAGTGCAGTTAATCAATTTTTTAATGTCCATTAGGGGTGGAATTATTCTCCGGGATCCCAGATCCGATCCGTTATCCGTTCGGAATCGCTCCGAAAATTAGGATATCCGGGGAGTCCGGATCCATATAAGGATAGTAAAATTTAGGATCCGTGAAAAGAGGATCCAGATCCGTGAAAAGAGAATCCAGATCCGGGTAGCAAAATTTTAAGGTCCGGATATCCGGATYCGGATYCGRACGCATTAAATATATTAAAAYCATATATATTATATATCTATTAAACTAATTTTATATAAATAAATATATATAAAAATTGATTTTAGTTTTTTTTATAATAAATTATATTTATAATGCAAAAATACCATTTAAAATATTAACTAATAATTTTTAAAAATATATTTTTATTTATTAATTATTTTAAATATTTTAAATATTAATTTCGGATCCGGATCCGGATATCCGTGGATATCCTGATTTTTGGAAAGATTCCTAGAGCCTGGATATCCGGAGGTCACGATTCCGGATCCGGATAGTTTTTTCACGGATCCGACGATTCCGAATCCGAATCTGGATACTCTGAAATTCCAGGATATCCGGAATCGTCCCCCTAACCATGTCAGTTTTTTTTAAATACATTGTTTATGTGTTCCTTAATTTATTCATTGCTTGACACATATGATATTTTTTATAAGTGTCTCCTCAATTAATATATAGAGGATAAATGACTAATTAAGATCTTTGATAGATTCTTACAATTGTTTTTACTTGATTGAGTTTGAATAGATTTTAAACTAATCACAATCTAACCATTTTGCTTGGATTTTTATAACCAAATCTATAAATTTTAAAAGCTAATATCTTAAGATATCATCAACCCCTTCTTCACATCATTTTATAATATGACACATCT